ATTTACTTTCTCCCTGTCGCCTCTCTTGCAGCCTCCTTCTACGGGGATGGCTACATACAGCTCAAAGCAACAGAGTCGTCCGACCGTAATGTGCTCCGTGTACGCTTCCGGACCTCCAGCACCAATGGCTTGATGTTTCTCGCTGCTGGCCAGGCCAGCTACTTCCTGCTAGAGCTGCACGCTGGTCGCCTCCAGGTTGGTACTATTATGGCTGCAGGAAATAAACAAATGTATGCATGTGTAGGTAAAAGCAAAAATGTATTATGAATAGACACATCTCTTTACTGCAAGCAGTGCAGGCAACCACTGCTTTATGTCTCTCTGCAGATGATGTCAGGCCCTCTATATATCTGTATTTTTTTCACTTATTTTTTTCTTTTCCTCATCAAACTATCATCATCGCTCTCTTTGATCTTTGGGATCTTCATTTCATTTACAAGTGCGATCAAAACTGTGTTTTTGTTCGTCCTGCAGCTCGACCCAGTTTTGTACCGTAAGCAAGTTTCAGTGCATTTAACTTAAAATCCTCAGACTAAGCTCATACTAGTTACATTTTAACTGTGGGAATAAATCGCTTTGACAAATGTTTGGAATTTCTTGTGCTTCACTGAACACAAAGGGTGAACTATGTTTCATGGGCTCTAAAGTGGCAGTGCTCAGCATTTTTCAGGCTTGGGGTCTCACTGTTGGAGTCAGACATGACTGTTGCTTCCTGGAAGCTCGTTCATGTTTAGCTCCACAGCAGGCCTTGACAAGAGTGTCATCTAAATGCAGCATTAGTCTGAGATAATGTGATGCTCTGTGGTCGTTGCTCAGGGTGAATAGATAATGGTGCCTTTTTGCCTCTCAAACCGAGACTGAATTCACTGTTTTGACAGCAGGTGACATCATAAGCAGTCTGAATCCTGATTTATTTCATTTTATTCTTTTCCCCTTTAAGGTGTAACAGTATCTGAAGCTTAACTTTTTTTTCAATCTGTTGCACCTAATAATATCTTTACATAAGATTGCATTCTTGATATAGCTAGAATGTTTAAATTGCTAAAAAGGATCTTTTTATTTAATTACTAAAGCATTTTGTTAAACTGCAGATAGAAACTTCATTGTTTCTTAGCTTTTCATTCTTATCTGTGACTTATAAAATGTTTCATAATTTCATAAAATCACGAAAATGAATAATACATTTAGTTAGAGATGGAAACTTGTCTGTTCTTTGCAAAATCGAATTTTATAGAGATTCGTTACGCATAGAATAATATATTTAAAACTTTATTTAATGTAACTTTAATCATTATACCTTTAAGGTAGAGAAACAAACAAACACCTTTTAGTTTCAGAGAAAAGTATCACATTAGATTAATCAAAAAGGATTGTAAAAATATTTCCTTTTCTATACCCTCAATACTTGGTTGGGCTTCAAAGCTCAGGGTATTTGATCGCTGCCTTCAGGTTGGTTCTGGTGTTTCTTATCTCCCAGAGATTTTCTTTAGGGTTCAGATAAGTGGAATTTACTGGCCAATGAGCAGGTACCCCCTGTTTTTGGTACCTCTGGCAGTGTGGGTAGATGCCTAGTCCTGCTGGAAAATAAAGTGCTAGAATACTCTGATAGATGGCTGGATTTACTTTAAACTTCAGACAACAGAGTGGACCAACACAAGCAGATGACATGGCACCTCAAACCATCAGTGACAGTGGACACTTCTCACTGGTCTTCAAGCAACTTGGATTCTGTTTTTCTCCACTCTTCCCCTTAGTACATTTAAGATGTTTCTGGTGTTCTCTCTGGTTCAGGTGTGACACAAGGAAGCCCTTCTCTTCTATGCATCTATGTGTGATGGCTCTCCATGCACAGACCTCATTCCTGCTTTGTTCTGGACTGTCTTGCTGGTTGAATCACTCCAGGCCTCTTCAGCTTAGGGGGTGCAGGATGCATGGCTGCCCAGTGGAAGTGCTTTGCTGCTCTTTGGGGCTGTAGGTTACTGGCCTTTTACTGCTGTGGCCGTACTTCTAACTGTGCTCCTTCTTGTGACAAACTGGTTCATATCTTTAAGCACACTCCATACTTGCATTTATCTACACACCAGCAAGCAGCTTAATGGTTTAATATCCTACAAACACAGCTAACTATTATATCAATTAATCAAACAGGATACCGTCTGGAGGTATCCCTTTTTCTAGAAAACCACTGTCCTGATGCACCATCCACAAGAGAGGACATGAATAAAAGATTTTGTTTCTAGAAAAGTAGCTGACTCAATAAAAAGCTCAAGAAAAAATTGAAATACTGATATTACCAAAACTATCAATTGCTTACCTTGACTTACATGAACTAAAGTAACTTCACATTTTGAATCCAAAGTGGTTGATTTGATATTTCTCACTTAAAGGGTCTTCACTGCGTCAGAGTGTATTTGGAGCATCCTTCACACCACTGCATTCAACATTTTGAATGGCACTTGGTGATACATTGATTGGATGCAGCTTCTCAGCCTTGGGAACCCATTGCATAAGGCTCTTTATGCACCTTTCTTAGCTAATCTAAAGGACACATGGTTGTAGTGATTTTCTCCATTTAAACTACCCCTCTGAAACCAATCCGTGCCAGGTTCGGACCGAGCTTGGATCAGTTAAGTGTCGAGCTTGATTCTTGCGACCATTTACACAACATTTACACAACATCTAACACTATCACAATTCCCCGCCTCTTATCGTCGGGTCCATGATACTACAGCTCTCAAGGCGGGAGATACGCAAACGAAAATGGCAGCACCAATAACATTCAGGAACTTATGTGTCTGGATAGCTCTCCACCCCAAATTTCAATTAGAGCCTCAGTCTCTGCAACATCTCTGGTCGCACCACGCTGTTTTGATCCCATTTATTCTTAATAAGCTGAGAAGAAGTTGGTGATCTTTGAAATGCAAAGCCGGACACGTCGGAAAACCGCAAAATGAGTCAGCTGACTGTAGATGACGCGGTCTGCTCATGCATTCTCTGCTATTAGAGAACCGAGCCACAACTGATCTGTACCAAGCTCTACTGATGAACTTGTACTAGATTTAACGCAGTTCAGTTGTGTCTGGCATGGTCCAGTTCAGTTGCTTTCCATTTACACTCAACAGTAATCTTGGTTACCCTCCTCGGACGGTTCTTTGCACATATTCAAAAGGGTAATGTAAATGGGGCTAATGACTCTGCAGAAACTTGGTGACCTCAATTCCCCAGTTATGTCAGTGTGCCCAGCCTACCACTATGGTTGGGTTGCTGTTGTTCTCAGTTGTTGCCACTTAGTTTTAATATCACCCACATTTGTTGGTAGAATATTCAGGAGTGAGGAAATATTATGACTAGACCGGTTGGACAGGTGGCATTCTAATATAGCACCATGCTGAAGTTAACTGGGTTCCTGTTAGCGACCCGTTCTTTCTCAGATCATTCTAGAAATAGTCTGCATCCTTAGAAGCTTGATTTCATCCATCTTTGAACATGGAAGTGATTAAAACATCTGATTTCTGTTATTTGAAAGGTTTAGCAAATACTTTACCAATATCATATACAGGTGCTGGTCATAAAATTAGAATATCATGAAAAAGTAGATTGATTTCAGTAATTCCATTTAAAAAGTGAAACTTGTATATTATATTCATACATTACATACAAACTCATATATTTCAGATGTTTATTTTGTTTAATTTTGATGATTACAAATGACAACAAATGAAAATCTCAAATTCATCATATCAGAAAATTAGAATATTGTGAAAAGGTTCAAAATTGATGGCCCCTGGTGCCACACTCTAATCAGCTAATTAACTCAAACCACCTGCAAAAGCCTTTAAATGGTCTTTCAGTCTAGTTCTATAGGCTACACAATCATGGGGAAGACTGCTGACTTGACAGTTGTCCAAAAGACGACCATCGACACCTTGCACAAGGAGGGCAAGACACAAAAGGTCATCGCTAAAGAGGCTGGCTGTTCACAGAGCTCAGTGTCCAAGCACATTAATAGAGAGGCGAAGGGAAGGAAAAGATGTGGTCGAAAAAAGTGTACAAGCAAGAGAGATAACCGCACCCTGGAGAGGATTGTGAAACAAAACCCATTCAAAAATGTGGGGGAGATTCACAAAGAGTGGACTGCAGCTGGAGTGAGTGCTTCAAGAACCACCACACACAGACGTATGAAAGACATGGGTTTCTGCTGTCGCATTCCTTGTGTCAAGCCACTCTTGAACCACAGACAGCGTCAGAAGCGTCTTGCCTGGGCTAAAGAGAAACAGGACTGGACTGCTGGTGAGTGGTCCAAAGTCATGTTCTCTGATGAAAGTAAATTTTGCATTTCCTTTGGAAATCAAGGTCCCAGAGTCTGGAGGAAAAGAAGAGAGGCACTTCATCCACGTTGCTTGAAGTCCAGTGTAAAGTTTCCACAGTCAGTGATGGTTTGGGGTGCCATGTCATCTGCTGGTGTTGGTCCATTGTGTTTTCTGAGGTCCAGGGTCAACGCAGCCACATACCAGGAAGTTTTAGAGCACTTCATGCTTCCTGCAGCTGACCAACTTTTTGGAGATGCAGATTTCATTTTCCAACAGGACTTGGCACCTGCACACAGTGCCAAAGCTACCAGTACCTGGTTGAAGGACCATGGTATCCCTGTTCTTAATTGGCCAGCAAACTCTCCTGACCTTAACCCCATAGAAAATCTATGGGGTATTGTGAAGAAGAAGATGCAATACACCAGACCCAACAATTCAGAAGAGCTAAAAGCCACTATTAGAGCAACCTGGGCTATCATAACACCTGAGCAGTGCCACAGACTGATCGACTCCATGCCACGCCGCATTGCTGCAGTAATACAGGCCAAAGGAGGCCCAACTAAATACTGAGTGCTGTACATGCTCATACTTTTCATGTTCATACTTTTCAGTTGGCCAACATTTCTATAAATCCTTTGTTTTTATTGGTCTTCAGTAATATTCTAATTTTCTGATATGATGAATTTGAGATTTTCATTTGTTGTCATTTGTAATCATCAAAATTAAACAAAATAAACATCTGAAATATATGAGTTTGTATGTAATGTATGAATATAATATACAAGTTTCACTTTTTAAATGGAATTACTGAAATCAATCTACTTTTTCATGATATTCTAATTTTATGACCAGCACCTGTAAGCAATTAAAGGTAATTATTTTCTAATAAGCTTTGTGTAGAAGAAATGCTAAAACACTGAACAATGAATTACCTTTAAGGAGTCATGTAAAACAAGTGAAACAAGATTTCAGTCCTTCTGAAATCGTTTGAATATAAAATTAGTTGAGCGTACACACAGGTATTTAACCTGTTTGTATGAGTGTTAATGTGCTCTGCATTTATTACATCAGGATGTAGCATCAGCAACATTAGCAGTTTGCTGTGGTTGGTTTACCATTGTTTCTTGGTCTCTTACACATAAGGTAAAAAGTTATACAAGCAACAATGCTTCCTGACTGCAGGTAAGCCCTGATTGTTGGAATTGTGGTAAAAGCAAAGCGGTCTTATGCTAAGAGCCCACACAAAAAAAAGGCCACTTTCACACTGTCAACTACCTGGGAAGTTTTAACTGAGATCCAATGCCACACACACAATTTAACATGCAAAGGCCTGTTGAGTGATGGCACCTTTAAGAATTGTGAAGCATTATTTTAAAATGACACTAGATATATTTAGATTTTTAAATCCCATTTGGTTTACTGTTTAAAAGTGCATATATGTTAACAGTAGTACTCGAGTATTGTTGTAAGCAAAGATCCTTTTTCTAAATGGAAATTTGAATAAGCATGTTTTTTAAATAGAAATTTAGAAAAATAAAATGCAGAAATGAAATTTTGAAAAACATCTTAAGAAAAAAATTAAGAGTAACTTTGCTGTTCTGTCAGATAAGAGAAATTGTAAAAAAATTCATATCACATTTTTTTTTTATTAAAACAAAAAAATAAGTACTAAGGAATAAAATGAATATATAGAATGAAATTGTAGTTTTCATTAAAAATTTGTGCAAATATTCAAATTGCCATTGAAATACTCATATTTTGATTTAACATTTCACATTTTAAACAGTTTGTTTGGTGTTTTATTGCTTCCTTTAGGTGAAACTGGATCTTGGATCAGGGGAGCAGATCTTGGAGTCAGAGAGAGGTATTCAGCTTAACGATTTTGCCTGGCACTCAGTGGAGATCCACCATGTGCAGTTAAACGTCACTCTGACTGTCGACAAAAACTCTCATACAAGTATCAAGATGCCTGGCTCTTTTCGTCATCTCCACATCAAAGATGGTCTTTATGTTGGAGGCACAGGAGGTTTGGACAAAATCTACCTCCCAAGAGACTTAGTCGGCTTCCGCGGGTGCATGGAAGAGCTGCTGTTCAATCAACATGACCTGCTGTCATCACTGAGGCCATATACTGGATACAAAAATATTTATGAAGTTTCTTTAGGCTGCAGTCCCCAGTTCTTTGCCACTGAGGAAGATCCCATTAGTTTTTTTAGTTCAAGGGCCTATATTTCCTTTCCAACTTGGAATCATCATCATCATCAACAGGCTACATTTGAATGTGTTGTGCACACCTCAGCCAAAGAGGGTGTAATCCTCTACAGTTCAGCCAGGGATGGAGGCTTTGTGGCTGTGGAGATTCAGGAAGGTTTTCCAGTAGCTGTTGTGGGTAAAGGTGGAGTGAAAACCGAGCTACGTTCTCAAACTGTCATCAATGACAGAAAATGCCATTCTCTCAAGTTGCATTTCAGTTCTAAAAACCTTGAGTTAACAGTGGACAAGGAAATGGTGAAAATCAGCATTAGTTCTCACTCCAAAAGGCTACATCTTAAAGGGTTTCTTTTTGTTGGAGGGATTGATGATGGTACAAGGTCAGAGGTGAGAAAAATAGGTCTTGTCTCTTTATCCGGAAAGCGTGTCAGAGGGGGTTCCTTTAAAGGATGTTTGAGGAACATTGAAATAAACAGAGTGAAGGTGGGTCTCTCTAGTGCTGTAGTTACCAAAGATATCTCAGTAGGTTGTGAACCAGAGAAACCACCTGAGGAATCGACCCTTGTGAGTCCTACAAGTTCAACAAAGTCAAGCGCAGTCATCTACACTCTAACACCAACACCGTCTCTTCAAATGTCAACTCTTGCAGTTGGCTGGGACAAAAAGTATGGCTCAGAGTTTGTGCATCTTAAAAATCTTGTTGTACAGGAAGGTGGACGAGCCTCTCTGGAGGCCAAACACATAAAGATATTCCTGGACTTCAAAGCACTTGGCATCCGACAGTCTCAGATTATGTTTAGAATTGAAGACCAGCCATTAAGAGGTCAGATAAGACTTGATGTTGACGAGGACCAGGAAGAGAACACCTTCAGCATGTTGGATCTTTGGCACGAGAGAGTGATGTATGTCCATGGAGGCTCTGAGGAGCCAGATGACTTCTTCATGTTCTCAGTGTTTTGTAGCAGTAGAAAACCAGTTCCTGATTATCTGAAGCATGGTAAATTATACCGGTATAACATAACTGTCACCCCAACTAATGATGCACCTGAATTAAGCCTCCCAGAAGGTAATCTCTTTGTCTTATTGGAAAAGTCTAAGAAGCGTCTCACCACTGAGGTTTTGAAAGCAACTGACATAGACAGCAACTACACTAACCTTGTATTCTCTGTCCTGGGAAACCTGAACGCTGATGCAGGCTACTTGGAAATTGAGAGCCACCCAGGAAAGGCAGTGACTTCATTCTCATATGTTGATCTAGATGAAATGAAGGTGTTCTATGTCCACACTGGCGTGAGAAACTCAAGGATAGTTCTAAGAGTTAGTGATGGAGACAAGGTCAGCAACACTGTGGTTTTAAGGATCATGGCTCTAGAGCTGAAGTATAAGATAGCCAACAACACAGGTATAGAGATTACTCAAGGAGAAACTGCTAATATTAGTTCAAAGCAGTTAGCCATTCAAACTAATGCAGTTAAACAAACTATAGACATTCGCTATGATGTAATTGAACCACCACAATTTGGCGAACTACAGAGACTTCACTCAAGTGGTGAATGGAGGCATACAGAGTTTTTCTCTCAAAGACTTCTTGACAAAGAGCGGCTTAGGTACATTAGCACCTTTCATGACATCCAGACCTCTAATGTCTCTGATTCTTTTAAGTGTAAAGTCAATGTCGCTGCGAGAGCAAACACTGAAATACTTTTCTCTATTGCTGTTAAGTGGGTTAAGTACCATTTGGCAAGGAATGTCATGATAAATTTGGATAAAGTTAGAAAAGTGACACTTAGCTCTGAGTACCTTCTTGCAAGAGCTGAAGGTGTGGCCCTGTCGGACGACGACCTTTATTTTCGAGTTCTGACTACACCAAAGAAGGGAAAACTCCTACTTGACACCACAGTCTTGATGAAGAACTCAACGTTTAGCCAAAGTAATCTAACGGATGAAAAGGTCCATTATGAGCTAGTTGATAGACCTTATGAGGACACAACTGATAGGTTTAAATTTCAGATGGTCTCTAAACATGCGCAGTCAGAAAATTATGATTTTCAGTTTTCAATCAAAGCAGATATCAACACTGTTTTTATGAGAAATAGAGGCCTCTCCCTTCAGGAGGGAGAAAGTAAACTTATCACCAAAGATGAGCTCTTTGCAGAGACTCTAAGCACAAGGGACATGTACTACACAGTCATAAGCAGTCCCAAACATGGGAGGCTGGCCCAAATTAGTCAGTCAGATTCCAATGCCAGCTATGATAACATCCTGACTTTCAGTAATCAGGATATAATGCTGGAGCGCTTAATGTACATCCACGATGACAGTGAAACTACCAAAGATAATTTTATTTTTATAGCTTCTACCAGCAAAGGGTTCAAGTCTTCAATTCTGGAAGATGAAGTTGGCTCAAAAGAAGGAACCTTCAACATCTCAGTTCATCTCGTTAACGACGAAAAACCAGTTCGAACCATTGATAAAGTTTTCCATGTGGTAAGAAATGGACAGAAGCTACTCACTACAGAGGATCTGTTTTATCACGATGCTGACTCAGACTTTGATGACGACCATCTGATCTACACCCGACGAGGAATCCCAGTGGGAGACCTCGTTATGGTCAACGACACCACTCAGCGGCTGTTTCAGTTTCCACAGAAGGACTTGGTGAAAAAGCGGGTGTTGTTCATTCACAAGGGTGCCAGCAATGGCAGATTTGTCCTCTTTGTTTCTGATGGAAAAAACTTTGTATCTGGCCTTTTAGACATTAGTGCCAGTGACCCTTTCCTGAAGGCTGGCAACAACACTGGCCTGTTGGTACAGAAAGGAATGTCTGTAACGTTTACCAACAGCAATTTCAGCATCGTGTCAAATATGGATATCCGAGATGACCAGGAGGTTGTTATGAATTTGATTGAGCCTCCCAGTTATGGCGGTCTTTACTGTAACAACACAAAGGTTGAGAAATTCACACAGTCTGAGCTGAAGGAGGGGCTTATTTCCTACAGGCACGGTGACAGCAAACATCTGGCCGACCATTTCAACATAACTGTAAAAGCAAAAGGTCTGCAAACTACAGAGAGGGTTAATGTGAAGGTGTTTCTTGAAAGTCATCAGAGGCCACCTATCATTCAGCATCACGAGACTTTAGTGGTGGAAGAGGGGAAACCAGTGAAGATTGACGAAACTAAACTGGAGGTGAGTGTTTTAATCATAAGCATTTCTGTCAGAGATTTAACATTTCTCTGTAACTTTGAAGAAATGTTAAAGCTTTATGTTTAAAAAAAATGGGATCATTGTAATGTTATTCGAGTAAAAAAATATAGACACTTGTATATCCATTATTCTCTCCCTTAAATTCCTTTTCCTTTTTTTACACCTGCTTTTGTAAATCATAACCATTGATCATAGTATAGTACAGCATTCTGACTTAAACGTGTAAACTTCAGTGTTTACACAAAAACTTTTAAAAATCTGACTATATGACCATATACACTATGGCTATTGAATCTAATCCTCTTATGCTTTCGAAACAATATTAATTAAAATTAGGATTTCAAAGGCATTGTGGCATTTTAAATGTAACCATGGGGTGTTTCTGGATTGGGACAGGTCACCCATGAGGACAACCTGCCATCTGAGATCGTGTTCACAGTCAAGGTTGCTCCATCTCATGGCTTTCTCCGGTGCTTTGTCGAGGCTGAGGAGCGCTACGTCGGAAGCAAACAATCCCCTGTCAAGACATTTAACCAAGAGGACATTAACAAGGGGAACATCCAGTACGTTCAGGTGGAGCCCAACAGCGTAAATGACACCTTCGTCCTGGATGCCACCAATGGGGTCACTGATGTTAGCAACATTAGAATAACTGTTGACATCATCCCACTCCTTATACCCCTGCATGTCACTAATTTCACCATAAATGAGGGGGCCTCAAAAGCACTAACAGAGGATGTGCTGAAAGTAACCAATAGGCATTTTTCTGGACTGAACTTTTTTTATAATTTGACGAAGCCGCCTCACCACGGTCACATTGAGCACTCTCGTCATCCTGGTGTGCCTATATCAACTTTCACCAGGAGGCAGGTGAGATTTTTACACAGCCAGTGATAAAGGAAGCGGAATTATTGAAAATTATGATTTTGTCTCCATTCTTTGTAAAACTGTTCCTACCTCCTAAACATTTTGAAATTTAGTGACTTTGTGTAAAATAACCCACACTTTCCATTTATCTGTATTTCTTGTGCATGTTTTCTTTTTCCTAGGTGGAGCATGAATTTATTTACTACGTCCATGACAGCAGTGAAACCTTGATCGATAATTTTACATTGGAAGCCAGTGACACAGGCTTGAGGAAAAAGAGTGCAGCCAAGGCGGTTTACATCGAGCTTACAGCTGTTAATGACGAGCGTCCTGTCATTACAGCCAATAGGGTCCTCAGGGTGAGTCTTTAGCTCTATATTTAAACTCAGTCCCCTTTTTTTCTGCCAGTCAATCTGGAACCACTCTCAAAAGATGTTCATGGGGTCATTTTCAGGTCTGTGTGTGTGTTTGGGTGTGTTGCTATGTTTGCTATGTGGGATCTCAGAGGACTGGCAATACAAAGTGGAAAGATGTGGCCAAACTTTGTCTGTGTTGATTTGACAAATGTACTTTTGTAATATGACTTTCTAGAAACTTTAAAATGAATCAGTTGCTGTGTTAATTTGAATGAGAATTAGATTAGATGTAATCTGGGTAACATTTCTAATAATTTTTTATTTAATGGTAATAGAAATTCAGCTGTTCTATATTATAATTATATACATTTTTCTTCAATTATCCACAGGCTGGATTTGTGTTGCCTAATCATTCAGATACACATTTTCAAAATGCAGCTTTAATGTAGCTATAAAACTCTTAAATAGTCAAAGCAGTAGTATCATTTTATATACATATTTTATATTTATTTTTTTAGAGCTATCTAGTTTTTAAAATAATCCCTTAAGTTATTAGACATTTGTTTAATACTAATAAAGATCGCTTTTTCACATACAATGTTTTTTGGGGGGTTATTAATTTGAAATCCCTTAAACCAAAAATGAATCATAAGAAATCATAGTTTAAAAAAAAAAAAGTTTAATAGAAATGGTATATCAGTGACCACAAGGGGGCTGTCTGCCACTGTCTGCCAGCAAAGGGAACTGAGCGCACAAGTTCTTCCTTTGTAGAATTATTGTATGTTAAAACAAGATGCTTTGTAAAACCTTTTACAATTGAGTCGCATTTTAGTTAAGAGAGGGATTTGTCTTTTAATACAAAGGGTCACAAGGCTAACGTAACCTTCAATAAAGTTAAGAAGTTCTCTTTATTTATGCTGGTTCCGATTATAAAGATAAAGTTAATTAAAACTGTCTCTCACCAAAGACACATCAAAGTAATAGAGGTTTTGCAGTTTAGACTTGCACAATTACTACAAGAAAAATATATATAAATCCAAAAGTCAAGTTTGGTCACATTCTTTGTATTTGTTATGATCTCCTCTGAAGGTGCAGCTTGATGAACATCAAACATCCTGCTTTTAATTAAGAAGCAATCCCGACCGCGGGGGCCTTTTCATGCACACTGATCTCATGTGGTTTTTTTCTTTGAATTTCGTTAGTCACTTTGACGCTGCTCAGCAGTCCTGCTGTGACTTCCTGTCAAATGAGGGATTGCTGGAGGTGTAGTCTCCCACCAGAGCAACATTCACCTTAGATGTGAGATGAGTTTTCTCGTGTGGGTGGGTGTTTTGCTGCAGGGCTGGTGTGACAAGTGTGGCTGGTTGTTGTACAAGTCCTGACAAACGGACAATTTCTCCCAGGTCTCCGTTTTCTTTCCTTTAACTTGTAAGCCATACTTTAAAACAATCTACAACTTCATCATTGTTGATTATGTGTTTACACAATATATACCGTATGTGTATGAAGTCGTATTTCTAATGTTCTTATAGTATGAATGTGTGAACAAAGGTGTGTTATTGCTAGTTAATGGAAAAACCTTTAAAAGACACAAGACATTGAAAAATAGCTTTACTTATTTCTGAAATGCTAAGCCATAATGCAGCAGTATAAGATAATCAACTATATCTATAAAGAAAAACTGGTGGCAATCTCATGAGCAACATAAATCTGTAAGTGAAAGAACAGTTGAGAGGGCGTTTCTAAGTAATTTAATAAAGATTATTTACAAAACATCGAACACATTGATCTGTTTTCTAAGGAGTGTCTGTCTTAACCAGTTCACCTAAGGTTTTGCTTGCATACTCGTCCTCTTCATGTAACCCACCCCTTAAGGAGCAGCGCCATGGAGATATTGTGGGGTTAAGGGTCTTGCTCAGTCTGACAGTTTAACCAAAGATCTAGAGGCCTCTACAGGATATAAATGCCCTGCTTTCTACCACTTTACAGCACGGCTCAATCACTGCACTACCAAATGGCATAAAAGGGGATTTTAGTCACCTTCTTGCAGTAATTGCATCATTATCTGACCAAGCAACAGTAGCTCCCCTGGTTGAGGTCTACAGGTATCTCCTTCCCTGTCAAGGTTCTGCATGCATCAGTAGTTTTGTGCTCTGTGCTTCAGTTGTTTCCTCTGCTGCTTTGTATTAGCTCCAGGCTCTTCAGTGTGCATGGAAGCAGGAATTTACTTCAGCTTGTCAACAGTCTGAGGTGCTCTGGGAAAAAAAAAGATTACAAAGTGTTGTGCTATTTTTAGCCCGAGATGTCCTTGATGTAGGCACTGTTCAACTGTTTGTGGGTTTTTATTTGTTTGGCTCTAGGTTGGTATTATCTTGATATTTATTTTGTTAGAAATCATCATTCATAGCAAATGATTCATATTTTCCAAATTAAGTTTGGGCTTTATGAAAGATTGGTATGAAGAATGAGCATGCACAGGGAGAACATGCAGACTCCATGCAGAAAGACCGCGGGCCGGGAATCAAACCCGGAACCTTCTTGCTGCAAGGCAAGGGTAGGACTTACCTTACTTTGTATCTACATGAGGGATATTTTTTCTCTGCTAAAATTGAATGAAGTTTTCATTTCCAATGAGCGACCTGTCCAGCCCTTTGGTAACCCTGCAAGGATCAGTAAGGGTGAATAATTTTTTTTCCTTTGACCCAGTTTAATTCTTAATTGCTTCTCCAAAAATATCGCTTTAAATTATTAAAACCTGTTGGGTATAATCTACTAAGTGTCTGGAAATGAAAGCATCCCAGTGAAATGTTGCCTGTTGTTGTTTGCTGCTCTGTAGGTGTGGCTGTCATCAGTTACAGAAATCACCCCAGAGGATCTTAGAGCAGAGGACCTTGATTCTCCAGCAGATGAGCTACACTTCATGATCACTCCACCCAGCAATGGACACCTGGCCCTTAAAAGCAACCCAATGAAGGCGGTTCTGAATTTCACACAGGCCCACATAGACCAGGGACAGCTGCTGTTTGTCCACAAAGGTATTATGGTTTAATAGCCAGAGAATGACTTCTGTAATAGCTGCATCTTGCTCTATCCCAGATCTGCTTACTGTGACATTATTAGACATTCCAAATACTCATTTATCGCTCCAAGTTGTTTATTCTCTACCTTTTAAAGGAAAAGTCTGGTCAGCACTGAATGATCAATGGATCATTATCTTGACCAGAAACTAATACGTTTGCAGTGATTTAATGAATTTAGCTTTAATCAGCAAAAAATATATAAATAACAGAATTTGTTGTCCAGGACCGGCCATTTTTGCCCAAACATAGTAACACCTCACTCCTGACATTTTCCCGCAGTGATGTCATGGTGTGGGAAGCCTAGCGTCATTCTCTCTGCTTCACAAGCAAAATGAATGGGAGCTACTAGACACATCTGTAATCAACAACAATTATTTTAGATTTCGAGACTTCACCATTGAAATTCCCGAGAGCTATAGTTAAAGTGGCAATGCCTACGTGTGTGGCAGTTGGATGTTGTAATGCATTGGGTAGACGTGGAAAAAAAAAAAATATTTCACCTTTCCAATTCATGATTCTCCACGGACGGGTTACTGCAGCCCTGGTTGTTGGATTGCCAACTTCAAGGAGGATTCGCCATCGAACTTCAGGCCAGAGAAAAAAAAACGTAATATGTAGCCAATATTTTGAAGAAGAATATTTTCAAGATGACTTCGATAATAGCGCGTTGTGACAAACACCAGATGCAGCACTGGGACTTGATCAACAGCCGATACCGCACTGTGACGTCACAAACCTGTAGGTGGCAGTAGTGCTCTTTAACAAAGATGGATGGATGGATTTTAATGAACAGTATGTAATAATCTCATATTTAAATTACTTTCAGAAGTTTGAATTCTGAATATGACCAGACTTTTCCTTTAACCCCGTTGAGGACATTCCTGGAAAGTTACATTTGGATTTGGTTTGTTATTGGTGTCAGTTCAGGCAATCTAAGGGCCTGTTCCCACTGCAGCTAAATGTGGCCCTACAGAGGGAAGCCACATTTGGTTACCGGTAATTTTTATTCAATTTATACAGCTTGATGAAAACTTTATTAACCCCTCGAAGTTACCTTTATCTATTTCTTAGACGATTTTCTTTTAATTATTTTCTTTTTGTTTATATTCTTTTGTTGTTTTATATTTGTTTTTATTTATTTATTTTTGCCTGGTGCATTCCCCTTTTGTTTATAAAATGAGTGTCCAGTTATTTAGATGTACATTCTTCTTACCTGATTGCTACTGATCTTTTGTGAAGCATTTCAGTTTCTAGAATATTTTCTGCACAGTGGCGAGAAACTCCTCAATAAACAAAGACAAATTGAAACGCTAAGAAGAACCATCTGAATGAATCAAATATTCTGAGATTGCATCAGGTCTCCAGCTGTTCTAATATTTGGTCTCTGTAAAGTTGTTAACATCCCCGCCCTATCATTGCTGTGTTTCACCTCACAGCTTCCACTGACATGATAAACCGATTCTGTTTTGTGCTCCAACCGTAACACCTGAATATTCCTCCATGTTTATTTGTGTTCTCTTATCGTTCTTATACCCATGTGGGTCAGTTTGAAGCTACAAACGGTTCACACTATATTCAGATTTGGGCAATGTTTTAAAGGTAATGGGAACAACCACACAAAATAAGAAAACTCCTGAAATAAATCGAGATTTGAGCATTAAGACCTGCAGTGGGAACATAACCTAAGTCATTAGGAGGAGCTGCATGCTGTTTCTGTTATTATCCTTAGGCTGATTCCTGATTTAACATAAATTCTCTCTGTTTGCCTATTTGGTGAATCCAGAGGAAATTTCAACCCCCATCATGGACCACATTTATATTTTAAGAAAATGTTTATGGATTAAAGTAGGAGATTTCTTTTGTTTGTGGCTTTTAATGGATCCTTTTCTGTTATTCACTAGGTGCCATGTCTGGTGGTTTTAACTTCCAAGTCAACGATGGTGTGAATTTTACTCCGAGGCAGATCTTCAGCATCACTGCCAAAGCTTTAGTTGTGCGTTTGGAGAAAAACATCCCACTCAAGGTGTTTCCTGGTAAGCGCACTCACTAAAGCAGCCGATCAGCAAATTTCCTTTTCTCTTTCCATTGTACCATGACCTCAATAACACCAAAAAAATACTGTGTCCACAACTCTTACATAGACTGTATTGACTTAAAGCAGTTCTAGTTAATGATCCGAGGTCCTCATCTTCAAAACGTTTTTGCAAATACTTTGTATAAGCAAAGGTTTAGCAGAATTCATTAGAATAATGAGACAGTTGCTGCCAACTGAGAGTATTTATCAGGAGAAACTTTCTCCATATTTATGTTGCACCAATGAGAATTTAAAGAAACCTAAACTCATGATGCAAATGGATCTTATTCGTATCTAGAAATGTATCATCAAATCAGTCCTAATTATACAGACCAATTTAAATTGAGTTCCTCTCATTCTTTCCTACCACACTATAACGTCAAATTCACTTTTTAATGTCAGTTGGTAAAAGGTTGTCAATGTAAAACAGCCCAATTGTTAACAATAACATTTCTCTTTGAATGTGGAGGTTTAATTGTGTCAAGCTACACTGCGAAAAGATCTAGAAATAAGTAGAAATGTCTTAAAATAAGTGTATTTACCCCTACTTTGAGCAGGTCAATAAGATGATTTGCCAATGGAATGAATATTTTTAAACCTTTAAAATAAGATAATTAGATAATATGCTTTTGAAATAAGACAATGCAATAGTTTTTTCTTATTTAAAATCTAAATTGTCTTGGCATCCATTGGCAAGGTGTCTCACCTCAATTCAACACAAAATGCTCTTATTTCAAGAAAAAAAAATACTAATTTAGATTTCCTTTTTTGCAGTGTATTTGCTTTACACCTATCAGACTTTCTTTTAAAAGGAAAAAAATTTAAGAAGAATCAAGAGAGGTACTCTGTTGTGACTAATGGGGGGTGTAGAAGACAGGATTTGATAAACTCAGTCTGAGGTTAAACGTTTACCAGTTGCAGGCTGGTAAACTAAACAGGCTTTAATTCAACAATCACAGTTTTTTAGTTTGCAGATAAAAAAGTTAGGAATGAAAACTAGATTTGGTGTTTCGTTCCAACTAAAGGCTCTTCATATATTACTGAGTTCAGGTTAACCCAACAACCAAAACTATAATCTTCTGACAAGGGGCATTTAAAAATGGATAAATGCATTCTGTTCTTCCAGTTTCCAGTTTAATTCCAACTCCTTAATGGAAATTCCCACTTACATGTTCAGGTAAATTAGATCATTGTTACTAAAATGCTTCTCTGGTGATTTATAAGTCATATTAAAGAGTAATTACTATTGTTTTCTTTGTCTTTACCTTACTTTAAATTCAGTTTATTTAATAACATCTATATGCAGCAAATGTCATCTAATGGCAGTTTACAAAGCAAACTGGTCCAGTTTGTGTTTATGTGTATTTTTGTCCAAATGTTGTTTCATATTCAGATCAGATTCATGTTCAGATTGCTTCTCTGCTTCCTCAACATTTATTTATTTATTTTCGTTTTAAAGTGTCATTAGCTCTTTGAACATAATTACAACATATGTGTCAGTTTGGCATATTTCATTGCCTATTAGCTTCACTTTTAAACTGTAACAAACGTGTGTGTTCGTCACGCCCACTACTGTGCTTCCATTTATTCTTTGGTTTAACAATTCAAGGCATTTCTCACAGCGAGCTCATTAAATCATTAAACGGGTGTAGCCTGTGTCAGCAAACACTTTCCACAGCTTTCAGAGGTTTTCAGTATTTCTGTTTGACAATCAGAAGAAACTGATATTGTTCTGTGGTCGCAGCAAACAGCCAGCTGGCATGTTCTGCTGAGCCTCTGAGCCGCAGGGGGAGTGGGTACTTGAAAATCTGTGCCACTGTCTGTCCCAGTCAGCCATGTTGGTGCTCTGTGCCAAGCAGGACAGACGGGGGGAGGCTAGGATGGCAGCTTTAGTCCACAATGAGGGTTTTTTTCTTGTTTTAAGAGAGAGGAGACTGAGGCCTCTCACACTGCGGTGGGAAAATAAATGTTTTTCTCACAAACAGCTAGACTGTCTGGGGGGGATTGCTGTCAAACTTTAAAATGGCTGCTTGCTAATTTACTGCATGTGTTTTTGGAATGATTCATGAGAGGTCATTACTTAATGTAGATCGTGTTTGGAAGATTATGTACCTTGCATGAGTAAAGGTAAAATAATTTATATAAAGGAGAGAACAAATGCAGAATGTAGTTAGAAAAGGTAAGTTCTAATCTAACATAAATATATAACACAAAAATAATTGCTTGAATAATCAGCATACAGGAGTTTTTCTTTTTCTGGGGGTCAGAAACTGTTTCTCTTCCTTAAAGGTAGAAATTTCCCGTGGGAGATAAAAATGGTGGGAGTGAGGAATGGAGCTCCTCCATTTCTCCCTGTCATCCATTATTTATCAGCATTTTTAATAACCCATGAAACATATTTAGAGTTGCAGCAGAGATATGCAAAACCTTATTTATTTTGGAATAAAGACTTTATGAATATATGCCATTTATTTTTATTTTTCAAGCATGATATTCGTGTCTGTATGGAGCTGTAATTGTTGTTTGGGGGCTTATGTAACTCTCCCACACTTCAGTAGGACACTGCGTCGTAAAACTCTCTGGTGTGTGCGTGGCAGCTTTCATTTAACACTTCAAAAGGCTCTCATTAGTCTATTCCAAGCCTTTGTTTTTTTCTTGTTTTTTTTTAAGAGTTTAGAATTTAAAATGATGTGAAGTGGTTCCAGAGGGAAGAATTAGAAAGATTTGAAGCAGCTGCCTTACTGTCGCTCACCCCCTAACCCTGCTGCCATTTCTCTCCAGGTTCTTCTAAACAGATCACCAATGAAAATTTGCAGGCTGTGACCAACGACGTTGGCGGCTCCTCTAACCGCACCATTACGTTCAATGTGATTCGCCATCCTAAACTGGGACGCCTGGTTAAGAGGCAGTCTGATAACTCCACTGTAGATATTTCAACTTTTACACAGGATATGGTGAGTTCAGAGAAGGGCACATCAAAATGGTCACTCTTCTTTAAATATGTCCCCGACTTGTAATGCAAGGGATGTAAGCTGGGGAGATAATTTATTAGGCTTCTTCCATTCATGCCAGATTTTCTCTGTTCTGCATGAATAATAAATGACTTCCTTCCTTTGCTGAGGAGTCTTTTCTGAATGAGCCTTCTAGCATTTTATGTTTTGATTTATTATAGATTTTATACTAACACAGTTGAAGCCAAAGTGATTCTAAATTGAATGCAAAGTAAAGAATATTTGAGTTATTTATTACAGCTTATCTATTTTGACTTAATAGCAAAAAAAAAAAATCCTCAACACAGGTGTGCTACTGAACTGTAATACATTTTTGAATTACTTTAAAAGCCCCGTCCACATGAAGTCAAAACGAACACGAAACGCTAATATTTTCCAGAACGTTTGTCGTAAAGACGGAGACGTAAAATAAATGTGATCGTCCACATGAATGCATGAAAATGCTGCAAAATGTATGCCAGGCCTGTAAGTGGCGCTTGTGGTGCCAAAGCAAAAATAGGCGACGAAATGTTGGGCATGCGCACTAATATTTATACATGGTTGCCCTGCGGGTCCATTTTCGTGGTTCAGTCAAATTCAGGTGCTGAACTATGTCGTCGATATTGCTCTGTTCTTCCTGGAGATATTCCAGAAGAAGAAGATTCTGTTGTAAGCCCGACAGCAGGGTGAGTAGCATGAGCAGCAACCATTCAACACAGTACGGCGCCATTGTTGTTGTGATACTGTGTCGCGCATGCGTGTTTAGAGGCGACGCTATGACGCATGCGTGTAAAAAAAAAAAAAATGCGGTTAGAGCTTAAAGATGGAAACGCGAAAACGGCGTTTCAAAATCTTCCCACTCTGAAGGCTGAATAAAAAAAAGATCGTTTACAGACCCCGAAACGCCGGCTTCGTATGGATGAGAGGCTGGTTTGGTGAAAAATTTGTGCGTTTAGGCCAGGGTTCGGCTTCGTGTGGACGGGGCCTTAATTAATTTGAGACCATGTAAAAGGCTTCCCCAACTCCAGAACTCGAGATCCTGTGTCCTGCACAGTGTAAATGAGTCTCTGCTTTCACCCCTGAATCAAATGCTTGAATTACCTCCTCAGCATGCAGTCCGTTCTTCAGAGTCTTGCTAATAGCCTGATTATTTGACTCAGGTGTATCAAGCAGAGACACATATAAAAGGTACAGGACAAAGGATTGGAATTGGCTTTAATTCAGAAATGATGATGGGAAAATCCGAATCATGGGAAATATTTTCTCTCCTTCTTTCCTGCATTTTACACCCTCCACAACCAGGGGAATTCACAGCAGGTCTAACAGCTGAAGAGGCTGGCTGTTTACACATGCTGCTTTCATGCATATTCATTGAAAGTTGAGTGGAAGGAAAAACTGTGATGCATACCATGGTCACGATTGTAATAGATGTTTGATTACTGTATGTTAAACTTGAAGTTGCTACTTTAGGGATCCCTGAAGTAACAAAACATGTTTTTGTGTTGCAGGTGGGCAGAAAGGAAGTCATCTACATTCAAATGCCCATTGAGGCAGTGGGCTGGGAAGCTATGGATTCAATAACCTTTTCCATTTCATCACTGCCTGCTTTGATAGACAGTCAGACTTTAAAAATAGATATCTCCTATGAAAACACAGAAGTTGAACATAATACAGTCCTCCTTAAAAACACAGGTATAATGCTTCTGTATTTGGTTATACTTATGTAGGACGGTGTTCTGCACCCTGAATTATTTGTTAAATTTTTTACGATTTTGTTCTTATTGGTTAAAAAGTCGAGAAGGCAAAAAAAAATCCAGTTTCTAAATTTCTGTTGACAATCCTTAAATCTTTAGAAGTGGACTTTAAGGTATAGTGGAGGATGTTTTATTTCCAGGTGGATCATCAAAGTAAGTGGTCCTCCTAATCATCAATCATTCTGGTGATGTGTTTACATAAGGTCGTCCAACGTGTTCGTCCCCATTTTCACTTACCGGGTTGAGTCTGTTAAAGTGTAAAGATTGCAAAATTTCTTATGGAAAGTAAGTTTGCACAAATGATGAAACAGCAACTTTTAAACAGAGCGTGCACGAGGAGAAATGGACTCGTGCACGCTCTATCACGCGTTTAATAGGCGTTCCGTCTCGGGAGCAGGTACAGAGGTGGTCCATGTGGAGTTTTTTTTTTTAAGTGGAGAGGGCGGGTCTTTTCAAAAATTCATGAAAATCCTCCACTATACCTTTAATAGTTCTACAAGATGTTCTTTCAAACTTTTTCTTCATCCAGCTGGGGTTTTTTTTGTCTTTTTTTTTTTATTATTCCGTCCATTCCTCAAGCATCATAACAGGATCTTTGGTGTATGTTTAGAAACTGTCCAAGGTATACATATACATCAAAGAACTTTACATAACAATCACAAACTTAGATGTTGGTTGTTGTTTTTTTTGCCTATCTGTGTGCCAAAATTGTCAAAAATGTTAAAGTGTAAGGGGGAAAAAAACTTTTTTTTCACTTTATTTTAAAAATGCTTCATAAAGTAAATATTTGGGTTTGTCTTGATTAGCTTTGCACAGATTCTTGCCTGTTGTCTTTAATATGAACACTCCGATCACACTGAGCAGCTTCTCTGCATTTACTGAATAAAACAATCCCTACAGCATGATGCTACTAAAACCATGCTTCACTCTCAAGTGTGTAGCTTTAGTATTATGTCCCACTTAGTGTTTGTTTTTAACTTATTAAGGCCAAAAAGAAAACATCTGTATATTTTCAGACCAGAGTACCTTCCCTCACATTTGTGCTGGCCTGCAGCAAACACCTAATGGGACATTCTGAATCTTTGCTTTCAAAAGTTATTGTTTCCCCTGATACTCCTGTATAGATCTATAATACATATGGCTATTCTGTCATTTGGATAGATTTTCCTACCAGAGTGTGGATCTTTGGATTGTCTTTATAGTAACTAAAAGCTCTTGGTTGACCTGATTTTTTTATTTTATTTTTTAAGGAGCTTCACAATAAAGAGGGGTGTATATAATTATTGTAAATAAATTTGCAAACCATCCTTCCCAGTTTGGGTAGCCAAAGTTAAGAAGAAGTGGAAAAAAGCAGTCACTAATCTGGTGGTTTGATTTTAAGCAAGGTTTAAGGTGAATGAAAACATATTTTTCTAAAAGTGGTCTGGACATAATACTGGACATTTTTAGTGACTTTGTGTTTACCTTGTGACAGGTGCTGAGGTGACAGAAGGGGAGAGTGTTGTCATCGATGAGTTCAAGCTGGATGCTTCCAACCTGATGTCCAAGCTGCCCACTCCACAGCGCAGCTATTATGAGGTCTGGTTTCAGGTGATGGATCTGCCTCAGCACGGCGTCATCGTGGTAGGGGAGAGGAATCTCACCAAAGAGAAGCCCAACTTTTCGCAGTTCATCGTCACCAAATACGGTATCGTCTACAGCCACGACAACTCTGAGACAACCAACGATTCCTTTGTGTTCAGTGTTTGGCTGAACCCTAAAGGCAGAACGGCTCAACGGCCTCAGGATGAGAAGGATGTAGTTGTTGAGCGTTTTAACATCACAGTCAGACCTGTGAATGATCAGCCCCCTGTGCTAAAAACTAAAACTCCAGGTCTGAAGGTGGTTCAGAGAGACAGTGTTGCCATGGGGCCTGAGGATCTTAGAGTTGAAGACTTGGACAATCCTCCAGAGGATATTACCTTCTCTGTGATTAGCAAACCAAGCAACGGTTATCTTGCTCTGCTAGGAAGTTTGAATCAGTCAGTGGAGACTTTCACCCAAGCTCAAATTAACAACAGAAGCATCTATTTTATCCACGATGGAAGCTCATCCTCAGGCGTGTTCTACTTCAGTGTCACAGACGGACATCACAAACCTTTATATAAACTTTTCAATATAGATGTGTCTGAGATCACCATCACTTTGGTCAATTATACTGGACTGTCCCTGCAGCAGGGGAAGACTGTGGCAGCTCTCACCCAGGACAACCTCGCTGCAGAGACGAATGGCAAAAGTCTAACTATTCACTACATGATTACCAAACCTCCCAGTTTTGGCAAAATTCTGAAGGAAAACCAGGAAGTTACCAATTTTACACAGAAGGATCTGCAGACTGGAAGCTTGGCCTACCACATGACCTCACTGTCCTCAGCAGGGGACAGCTTTGAGTTCACCATCTTTACCCCAGATGCAAATATTACCGGCCAACTCCTTAATGTAACTGTCAAACCTCTAGTTCAGCTTGGGCAAAGTCTGATGATTCCTAATGGGATCCCTGTCAGGCTAAACTCTAGCATTTTTAATGCCTCTGAACTGGCTGCTATAAGTGACAGTGACCCTGTGTTTGAAATCATGTCCCAACCTAAGCACGGACAGATTGTTCACTCCAGTTCTAAAAGATCCAGAAAATTCGTCCCAACTGTGTCTTTCACATTTCAGGACGTGATGCAGGAGAAAGTTGCAATTGAGCTGAATGCCAACATGACCGGAGTCGAGGAGCTAAATGACTGTCTCGTGTTTGTGCTGAAAGCTGATAATGTCCAACCTGCTGAAGGGGAATTCCACTTTATAGTTGTCCCATACGATCCTGTGGTAAATCCAACCACAAAAAGCCCAGTCCCAACCACATCACCCATTCTTCAAACACCTGTCAGGATTTCCAGGAATGGAACCATTTCCCCCGTCCCGTCTACTGTCCTCCATTCAACCCAGCAACCAAGCAAAAGCCAGCAGAAATTAAAGGGACGTAACCGCTGGGGGAACTCTAACAGAACCAGCTTTTTTAGCACAACGCTCGCGAAGCCGCCTCAGACGGACGGCTTTCCGTTTGGGAACACACCGGTTCGTGTGGAGTCCTACCCTCATAAAACCTCCAACCCACTCCTCATCATCCTCCCCCTTCTAGCCATCCTGCTGCTCATAATCATCTTTGTGGTTGTGGTTGTCTATTTTCGACACCGTTGGCAAAGGAAGCACAACACCTCTTTACCTCAGGAGGATCCTATCTGCGTTCCTCCCAGTGAGTCCCACAGCGGCCTCACCCAGAGGAGCACCACTGTTCCCACTGTTACCGTCACTCCTTTACATCCCACGTACTCTACCAGCCCTGTGCTTGGTAGGTTTTCAGCACTGAACCAGGCCTCACCTCATGACACAGCTGATTCAAATGTTCTCGTCAGTTCTTGGAGTAGCTGTTCTCTTGAACCATCTTCCCAAATTATTCACACCACCACCCCGACTCTGCGGAAGAATCAGTACTGGGTATAAATACTATGATGGCAAAGGTAATGTGTCCACAGGTTTGTGTGTTGAATGCATGGTACAACTCATTGCTTATTATTGCAGTTACCTGCCATAGGTTTCTGGAGCTGTTTTTCACCCATTGCTACAGTTAAGATTTCAGAGAAAAATTCCCCAAAAATAAATTAGGTCAACAGCGATCCAACTTTAAACAGTGGCCAATATGGTGTCATTTCTGTAGTTTTAGTGTCACTTTGTTTCTGCTGTGCAAATGCTACTGAAGTGAGAAAATAACTTGAAAAGAAAGGAAAATGCTTGGATTTTAATGAAGAAAAAAAAAGTTTACTTTGAAACAGCCTGATGCAAAATCCTAAGCTAAATTGTTACTGTTTGTTAATGTTGCTCCTGTGAAGAAACAATCCTTTTTGTGCTGCATGCTTCACACTTATTGGCCCCTCTGGTAAAGATATTTAAGTTGTATTGTGTTTTTTAATGGTGGGTGGGCATGAGAAAATTTGCCCTTGAGCTTCTTTTGAAGAGGCATTTAGTGAGATCAATAGGATTGATTAGATCCCTCAAGGACACAGGTGGAACTGTAATTTAAAATATATTTTAAGGTTTGTATTTGTACAAAATATTTTTGAAATTAAGCAAAGCTCTAATGCTTCCTCTGTTTTACAGATGCAAAAAGAACAAATGTGCACAAATGCAATGTGTAATTTATATGAGCCTGCCTGCTGTGCCATTCTATGTTAAAGGACTAGCAGATGTACCCAATGGTCTCACTGCAGTTCTGACCAGCTGAGTTTAAAAAATAACCACTTTTTAAATCAGTAGAACATGAAAAATCAAGCTTGTACCATCAGTCACCAACTGGGAAGAGGTGAGGGCATTTTTGTAAACTGGAAATTTTGACTTTAGTTTGTTGGAGTCCAACCCGCCCTTTTTTTTTTTTTTGGTAGAAATGGTTCATACTAGAACCTGGAGTTCTGAACCTATCCTCCCTGTTACAGATGGATATGCTTTAAGAGGTTAAAGGTTTGTGTGTCTGTAAATAGGCATCTTAAATGGTAGAAAGAAAAACTCTGAATCAGTTTGTACTGTAAAAGTATCTAAAAAAATATTTTTACTTTGTAGATGTAATTAGAAAATTATTATTATTTAACACAGAATTTGCAGTTTCCTTGATCACAAATCCTAATTACTTTTAGCCACTATGAAATATTAATACAGCATAAATCAGATTATGTTTGTAAAAAAGTGTGTTTTATAAGTGGGATATTTGCTTGATTAAGTGAATTAAAGGTTGAATAAAGGAATAGTTTTATTTTAAAGCTATTTACTGTTCTTCCCAGAGGTGCCAATAAGGAAAACAATGCTGTAATTTGAATGAAGCAGATGTCAGTGTTAATTTCAGTTCAGTCACTCAAGGAAAACCAAGCAAGTACCTCATCCTGTTGGAAAGAAATTACACATTAATATATGTCAATATCAGAGAGGAAGATAAGGATGATAACAGCTTGATACTGTGAATTATTGAGGCTAACACAAAGATTGATGGTCAAAGTATTTCAATCAATTGTTCAGATTTTATATTAGTTTTATGGGTTACATAAATATAACAAAGTTTATTTTGTTACCTCAGGTATTTTTTAGTTGCAGGTGTTACATTTGCAGCATGCGGTTAGTATCAGTGAACATTACAAAACATTAACAGGATAAAAAAAACATTTTAGTCATGTAGATATGCCCTTTATATGGTTTTACTTTATATTACTTTGTGGTTATGTTATCATGTAGGCATTGAATTAATATACAGTATAGATTGAACTACATAGTACTATTTGAAATTGTTAATAAAGTACAAACCACAACTTGTACAGTTGGGGTTTTATGTATCTGACAATTAAAATGTTTTATTTTTTATCAACAAAGCGACTGAAAGTGTCGGAGAGAAACAACAAGCTTTTTAAGACTAAAAAGCTCTCGTTTTATCTAACTTGACAAAAGTCAGCCTAGTGTCTGTCATAGACGCTCTGATTAGATGAACTGTTTGCTGTAAGTAAGTGTTTCTGTTGTGATCTGCAGGAAAGGTAACATTTAATGGCTGCTGTTTGGTAGAAACACTGCAAATCTTGTAGATGTGATATGATTTTGTACTGAAAAGAATCATTTATGTATCCCAGTTGAAACTAAGTGTTCAAATTTACTATGTAAGAGAAGTGTTGTATTTATTTATACTATATTTTTAATAAATAAAATTATTCACTTAAGCACAGCTTTTCTCCAGACTTTACTCTATTTCTTTTTACCTTATTCTTAGTATTTTTTAACCTTTTATTTCCTCATAGACATTCCCTGGCTTTCACTATAATTTAAACTGTCCTGCTGCCATCCTCTTAATGACCTAGGGTGCACTGCAACAAAAGACACGTTACAACCGAAGACCAATTAAAGAAAGATTAGGATGATTAATGCTCCTAGTTTCCTGCAATTAGCTCAGCTTTCATTTTCTTGCAACCTAAAGTGACTAAAAATCTGCAGATTTTGCTGCGATTCCTACCAAGACGCATTTTCACCCCAACAGAAAGAAGGTCAGGACCGAACAAAAGTCCGTCTAAATGAAACCTGATACAAAACCTACCTGTTCACTGATTTGCCTGCAAAAATAGGAGACCTGAAACATGGAGACCTAAGCTTAGACTGAACAACGGCTATATCTGCTTTTTATATTCCTAACATATCAAAAATGAAAAATACTTGAACTGATTTTCTTAAACCTTTTTGTAAAGACATTAAGCGACCGGTTTCCATCTGTGGTGGAAGGGGTGCTTAAAGAATTTTTTTTTTTTTTTTTTTTTAAGACATTTTGCTTGCCTTTGTTCTATTGATTTCTTTTCTTGAGGGTGATTTCAACCAAAAAAATAAATTTGGTTTGAAGAAAATATTGATAATCAAATAGGCATCATAAATACACATTCTAAATACAGCTTTAGACAGACGTCCTTAAAACTTCATTTTTTGTAAGACCTTTATGTCTTATGTTCTCACCAGCATGTCTAACTAGGTTAAATATGTTTTCATAAAAATTTATGTTTTTTTTAAGTCCTAAAAATTGCATTGGGAAAAACTTGATGTATATTTTTCAAACTCTTCAAAGGATGCCATTTGTCCCTTTCTAGTTAAATTATTATTACCTGGGTCCCTTTGGAAGCGCTTGGATTAGTTTCTACTGCATTCTTGGGAAGGTTCCTTTCTGTTCCATGCTATTATGATTTATCCAAGATGTTGTTTTTTTTTGGTGTGGTTTACTGGAGACAAATGGCTTTTTAAACCTTTGTGTTCCTTTTTTAGCCCATGTAGTTGACCTCATTAAACAAGATCTGTTTTTTTATTATTTCTTGCCTTCACAGGTCTGTTATTAACCAGGCCTTTGTGCGGCTGCTACAAATAAGCCAAGAAACCAGTGATCTTCAGAGAAAATTACCCAAAGGACATATCAGTTTTTTGCTGGTCTAGGTAAATTAGATGATTTTTGCTCTTAATAGATAGTAGATAGTGACGCTGTTTGAAAACACTTTTTGAGTTTACTCTGGTTATCTTTACTATTGTTATTAATATTGTCAAATATACAAAAACAGAGTAAATCTACAAAAGGAAACTCAAAATACAGTAGCTTCTGATTCTGAATGCTACTAGAAGTGCTGGCTTCTGACAGCTGGCCTCTTTCCATTAAGTCAACAGAAGTATGGTTCTAAAGCAAAAGTTTAAGGATTTTAACACGTAACCTAAAATCCTAAAAAAAAACTAAAACATATGGTAGGTGTGGAGACTACCAGCAGTAAATTTGATGCTGGAGAGTCATCGCTGACCAAGCATATCATTTTCTTGGGGAAATTCCCCCTCTTTTTACATTCCATTGTTCCTGCTTTTTTCCTTGTTTTCCTTAAACAATCGTTACCACGTTTAACATTTTGACAAAAGAGACTTCAATTTAAGTAAAATTATAAGTTTTTATTTCTTCATAAAGATGGATGAAAGACGAGATTTTATTTGTATCTGTTGTGTTTAGTCCAGTTGTCTCATTTTAATTCATTTCCAACTAGTTTGCATTTAGTCTCACAAGGTAAATGCCACAACCGTATAAATTTTTCTTTTTTTATTTGTTGTAAAAAAGAAATTCTCATTAACATTTTGATCAAAATCTGCTCTTCAAGACATGTTCAGGTTTTCTTTGCTTTTATGCCTTTGGTGCGTACAGAAATACTTGTGTTTAGCTCCCTGGCTTTTGATAAACTATTTTCTTTTGTAATAGAGGGAAGGATATCAAAGCTGTAATATAGAGGAAGAGAAGCCTAGCTTCATATTTCAAATTAACCTTTTATTAAGTGCTTTTTGAATCTGGTAAACAAGTTGCGAAGGACTTTGTATGCATTAAAAAAAAAATTTATCAATTAAAGCTTATTTTTAGGACAAATGATTTTATGGGTTTTCATTCCCCTAGAATTTAATATTGTTTAGTATTGTTTTTATTTTTATTTTTTTTTCTTTCTTTTAGTGAAGTAGCATCAAACACCTTTATTGGTTTCACTGAGCTTTAGCTGTTTTCCAAAGAAGAATGGACAAAAATGATCGTCTCTCTGCACTGCAAAGAACTGAAATCTCAATAAGTAAATTTTTTCTTTAAATAACCACATTTGTCCTTGAATTGAGGTAAGTGCGACACTTTGCCAATGGAACGAGACAATTTTCATTTAAAATAAAAAAAACCATTGCATTTTCTTATTTCAAGTGCATATTATCTAATTATCTTACTTTTAGTGTAAAAATACTCATTCCATTGGCAGATCATATTATTAACCTGCTCAAATTAAGGGTACATTCACTTAATTTAAGACATTTTTGTTCATTTCTTGATCATTTTTGTGTGCAGAACTTTTACAGACATCCCCTACGCAACTTGCAACCTTTAATTGCAGCAAAAGATGGCGCTACAAAGTATTACTGTAATAATCGATTCATTCTGCACTCCAAATTTTTTAAATTTTTTATTTGTTAAAAGTTTAAAATGTCCAATACATTTTATTCCACTTCATAACTGTGTCCCACTTGTTGTTACAATAGAATTTTATACATTTATGTTTGAAGCCTGAAATGTGGTAAAAGGTCTAAAAATTTGATCGGGCCGAATATTTTCGCAAGGCACTGAATCTCCTAGACTTTCAAAAAGATGTTTTTGGGTTGTTTATTTTAACTGTTGATTTGTAAAAACAAAAAAGACAACATGGTAACAGCTGTGATAGTGGTTACACTATTAGTTAATCTCTTACCTGCACAATAGTACTGAAAGGTTGCTTTAGACTTAATAGATGATAATAGAGCATACATACACACTAGTAATTCTTCATTTATTTGAGTTGGGGGTTTTTTCAGGTGGAAACTGCTTCTGAAACCCTCAGGCTTTAAACCCTCAATATATATATATATAAATGTATATATATATATATAAACACACACACAGTCAGTCATATTATTGAATTATCCCAAATTAAAGCTGTGATCGTACCTCAATCTCAAAACATTTTCTTCTATTAAAATCTTGTTTTCTTGAACTCTCACTCTCTCAGTAGAAAAGATGAAACCAAGCACA